CAGAACTCCCTAGGTTATGGCCATCTTCTCAATCTAAAGGATTAATTTATCCACCCCAGATGTCTCCACTATGCAAGAAATAATGGACCTTGTCATTGCCAAAAGATAATTCAAAACATTGCATTGCTTCAATACTCATCATCATCATCATCGGTTCCTTTTGTGTGAAGTGCATAGGGCAGCAAGCTTCTTCCAATGTACCCTAACTGTGGCAGCATCTTTGGCACCTTCCCATTTGATGTTCACTGTCTGTAAGTCATCTTTAAATGTCAAATTTTGCATTGTCTACTCCACCTACATTTTCCCTCTGGCAGCTCCGTAGTACCACATTTTTGGGGTATCAATGTTCTGGCAAGCGAAGTCATGGTCAGCTAGGCACATTCGATGTTCCATCACAATGGCCTGCAACTTCCTGGATCCACTCCCCTGGAAAATTTCATTAGTGACATGGTCACACCAAGTGACATCCAGAATTCTCCATAGGCAATGTTGATGGAGTACCATTAGTACCAGTAGTACCCTGAGTAAATTTAGTGTTCATGTTTTGTCAACTCACAGCTGACTGGCTTTAAACTTCCCTTCTTCTTGTATGTGATCAACTCCATGATTGATATTTCATAAGAAGGAAAAAAATACTGAACATCCATCGGTATTTAAGCACACTGAGTAATTAATTTGGATGCCTATGCACAATATCTGAAGGTCTATGAAGAAGATGCACTGAAGCTAATATATATCATGAAGGCTTCTGGTATTGAAGTACTGAAGAGATCAAACTGGCTTACAAGAAAGAACCTTAAGAAGAAATGTATATTAGAACTGAGAAGAGAATGACAGTTAACAAGTGCTTATTCTGCAAAGAAGCTGAAGAAACGATTTTTGTTTTTAAAGAAGATTGCTCAAACTGACTACAAACAACGGCATGACAAAGTAGCAACAATGGTGCATTGGAAGATCTGTAAGAAATATCATTTGCCTGTAAGGAAGATAGACAAGGTAATAGATAATGAAGAAGCTAAAGTGCTCTAGGGCTTTAGAATTCAAATGGACAAACGGGTGCTACACTGCTATGTGATAATCCAGATTTAATAATTGTCAATAAGAAAGACACAAAAGTCTGGATAGTGAACATTATAGTACCTGGAAACAGCGGAAGAGAAAAGGACTGGAAAAGTTCACAAAATACAAAGAATTGCAACAGGGGTGGGTTCTAATTTTTTTTTACTATCCCCATTTCCCCCCGATCAGCTGCTTCTGTGGGTGTGGCTTATTTTGTGGGCGTGGTTTGATGGTCATGTGACAATTCTTTAGAATTTGGCTGAGGTACTGGTCTACCAGGCTTTTAACTGCTTGCAGCGTCCTGGTCTACCCATTTATTCTTGGAGCGTCCTGGTCTACCCATTTGTTTTTCAAGCGTCCCGGTCTACTCATTTGTTTTTCGAGGCACCGGTCTACCACCATACTGCCTTTTAACGCTGATCAGCTGTAGGATAGCCCTTTGAAGCTCCGCGGAAAGAGTTTAAACAGTTTTTTTCCTTCTAGCTGGGACTCGGAAGGCAGCGAATAGATTGGGGGTGGGGTCAAATAAAAGGTAAGAATAACATGGGTGGGGTGGGAGGGCCCAGCTCCCAAACAAAGAGAACCAGTTTGGTGACGTCATATCGTCACTGCTACCGGCTCGGCCGAACCGGGCCGAACCGGGAGGAACCCACCACTGAATTGCAAGTAGAAATAGAATGATCGGGGCAAAAGAAAGCAAAGATAGTACCAATAGTGATAGACACCTTGGATACATTCCCTCAACATCTAGAGCACCACTTGAATACCATTGGCATTGACAAAAATCACCATTAGTCAATTGCAAAAGGCAGCTTTACTTGGAACGAGTTTACAATCTGTGTTTATACCTTTAAGACCAACATATCTCCCAGGTCCTTGGGAAAGACATTATAGGTGGGTAAAAATGACAGATCCAGTCTAAACATGTGGCTGATTGTTGCAACTAATTATGATAATAATACTAACATTAAGATGATTTTAAAAAATAATCCATGTAGCAGCTGTTATTGTATGGTGAGCTAATTTGTGCAGCAACTCATGAAACTGACATTTCAGGAAAGGAAAAACACAAGTTAGAGCAGAAACGATTCTAGCAAGAATGGCTCTTGAGGGAAACAAGGATGTTTACTAGATTCTTACTTCACCTATCTCTCTCTCTATATATAAATATATCTATATATCTCAGCCTGCAGAAATATAGAGATGTATGTATTTTCCAAAGAAGCTAACAAGATTTTGAAGTGGTGGCAATATATTGGAAGCTGTGGCAGTGAAATAAACAATCTGAAAAACACACATTGGTATTTATAGCTCTTGTATTGATTAAGAATTTTATTTCATTTTTGACAATGTTCAGTTCCCAGATAGTCTTGAAGCATCACTGTGATGAGTAATATTTGGTGCGTAACTTCTATCTTATGCGGACTTTGTTTCTTATTTGATGAATAGAGGAAAAAAAGAAAAGGAAAATAAATTAGAAAGAAAGATTTTGCTTTAGACATTTTTTGAAAGAAACGGGTCTGTAACATTCTCTTAGATCGAATAGGTACTCTTTATCTAATCATACGGAGTATAAATGACTCTTCTGCCATCATCTCCCCAGGCCTGAAATCTCCCTGGCTTCTGAAAAAATTAAGAGCAAACATCTGCCCCATTTCTTTGCCCACAGATGTGGAGGTGAAGTTTATGAGACCATTGATTCCTGGCTTCAGTGATAATGGCAGAAATTATCTAGCAATGATGACCTTACATGTGCTAGAATTCAGTGGTGGGTTTCAAATTTTTTTACTACCAGTTCTGTGGGTGTGGCCTGGTAGGTGTGGCATGGCTTGGTGGGCGTGGCAGGGGAAGGGTACTGTAAAATCTCCATTCCCTCCCCACTCCAGGGGAAGGATACTGCAAAATCCCCATTTCCTCCCGATCAGCTGGGATTCGGGAAACAGAGAATAGATGGGGGCGGGGCCAGTCAGAGGTGGTATTTACTAGTTCTCCGAACGAGTCAAAATTTCCACTACCGGTTCTCCAGAACTGGTCAGAATCTGCTGAAACCCACCTCTGCTAGAATTCCCCTGAAGTAGCATTGTTATAGGTAGTCCTTGACTTACAACCATTTATTTAGTGACTGCTCGAAGCTACCATGACACTGAAAAAAAAAATGACTTATGACCGTTTTTCACCCTTATGACTGTTGCAGCGTCCTCATGGTCACATGATCAAAATGTGACCCTCATATCTATGAGGGTAGCAGTGCCTCGTGGTCATGCAATCCCCTTTTGCAACCTTCTGACAAGCAAAGTCCACAGGGAAACCAGTTTCATTCAACAACCGCGTTACTAACTTAACAACTGCAATGATTTACTTAACCACTGTAGCACAAAAGGTCGTAAAATGGGACAAAGCTCACTTAACAACCGTCGTGCTTAGTAATAGAAATTTGGGGCTCAGTTGGGGTTGTGAGTCAAAAACTACCTCTCTTACTGGTACTTTGATTACTACCTACATATGCCATTTGTTGATGCTAGACTGGGCTATAAACTTATTACCTTATTTTTTCTGTGGTTTACATCACTAAACTTTTCTATGCTACTTCTCCAGGGTGATCAACACATTTTATAATAGATGCTTCCTTCATTTACAAACAAGTTGCTGTCACTCTGCTATCCATATGATTCCCACCAGTGGTGGGTTTTAAAATTTTTTACTACCGATTCTATGGGCGTGGCTTGATGGGCATGGCATGGCTTGGTGGGCATGGCAGGGGAAGGATACTGTAAAATCTCCATTCCCTCCCCACTCCAGGGGAAGAATACTGCAAAATCCCCATTTCCTCCTGATCAGCTGGGGCTTGGGAGGCAGAGAATAGATGGGGGGAGGGGCCAGTCAGAATTTTTACTACCGGTTCTCCAAACTACTCAAAATTTCTGCTACCGGTTCTCCAGAATTGGTCAGAACCTGCTGAAACCCACCTTTGATTCCCACTCAAACAGATGAGGAACCAGATTATGATTTGGGATGAAATGAAATGAAAACAGACTTTAATTTCTTTTTCTTGCTATGATCTGTCAAAGGAGACTCCACTGCAGCTCAGATGACAAGGAATATCGCAATAAACTGAGATACTAATATAAACATATTAAAAGTAGCATAAAGAAAACATTATTGGGGAGAATTCGCTAGAATTTAAAATCCGTACACCATACAGTGTCCATAAATGCAACGGAACAACTTCCGTGTTCCATATACTTGCATGTTTCTTCTTCCGCTTTGTTCATCATAAAAGGGACATCAACCTCCACTCCTACAAACTAGATCTGATAATTCCTGACATGCCCTCGTGTCTTTGGACCATTTATCAGTCCAAACAGATAATCTGTTTTGGTAGGATTGGAGTGTGCATCTGTACAAAATTGTATGGTAGAATGTTTTGCTTTTTTCTAAAATGACACAAATAACCACACAGAGACATAGGTTTGGACTGAGCACATACTGTTAGGGAAAGAGGTTAACCATATCATTCCATGCCAATTCTTGTATCCACATCTGTTTTCTACCGTTGGCTGGTCCTTGTTTTGTGTGGCCAACTTTGAAGTGCTCATGTGAAACTTGTATGTTTTCTCTTCCAGAGATGGACAGAGAAGAAAGTGGTCGAGGAAAGATCGAGGAAAATGGAACAGGGAAAAAATTAATCCTTTCCTCCATATTGTGACTCTAATTTGAACTGAGGCCATTTGCAACTATATCCATCCTTTAAGCATCTCAGGTGAAATTCTGATAACGTATCTCCACTTTCAAATCTTTGGCTGTCCACTGTAGGGAATAAATGACTTGACTATAGGCTCACCAGGATGAATAGACTGATAGCTTAAAGATTGCTGAGCTTTATTAATTTTAACCTTGCTTGTTTGGTGTGCATTGCTTTTTGTGGTCTAGCATGCTAATGGAGTACATGTTTTGCATTTAATTCAGTCCCTGGTTTCTTCTAGCTGAATGGAAAACATCCTCCAGAGAACTCCTACTATCCAATGGCAATGTTCACACAGCTTACTTAATTAGGTAAGGTAAAATTTTAGTAGAAGTACCGTATTTTTTGGAGTATAAGACGCACCTTTTTTTCCCCTAAAAGGTGGTAAAAATTTAGGTGCTTCTTATACACCAAATGTAGCCCCACCCACCCACTGCCCCCCCACCCTTTGGCCTCTGCCTCGCAGCAGTTACCTCCTTGCAAGCAAACAGCAAGGAAAAACAGCTCCTTTCAGCTTCAGCACAGCCTAATTAGCACAAATTGATTGGATCGGCCTCCCGACTCTGATTTGCTCTCAGCTGTTTTGCGCAGGGCTCTGCTGCTTGCTGCAAAGAGGTAAATTGCTGGAGCAGATTTTTTTTCCTTGTGCTAATCAGGCTATGCTGAAAATGAAAATGAAAATAAAGCAGGCTGTTTGCTGTTTGCTGTTTGCTGCAATGAGGCAAAATTGCTTAGAGGCAGAGGGAGATTTCTTTTTCTTCTTTTCCTCACCAAAAAAGGTAGGTGCGTCTTATAATCTGGTGTATTTTATACTCTGAAAAATACGGTATTTACATGGTAAACTATTGGGGTTAATCTTGGCTGTTGCTCTTGTTGTTTTCAAGCCTTGCCAATCTGCATTGTATTGTTTGAATCAAAAATGGGTTAATTCAGTCAGCATGCTAAACATGTTGTATGATCTACTTCTAATTTCTTAGCCCAGGGATGAGTGACCTCAAGCCACAATTTACGGCTCTCTGACGTTGCAATCCTGCCATTCAACTGCAAAATGGCTGATATTTGGTCAAAGGTTCTTTTTTTTCCATGAGGAAAAAAGGCACTCATTTCCACCCTGAAAATTCCCTAAGCCCACCTGAATTTACAAACAAAGAGCCACAAAGATTCAGTCTTGTTCCCTGGCAACATCACTGCATCATTAGATACGTCCATCTGTGGCTTATAAAAAAACCACCAGAAATAAAAAGTGCTGTAAAAAGGAAAAGGTTCCCTTGTCTAGTCGTGTTTGACTTTAGGGCATGGTGCTCATCTCTGTTTCTTGACCGAGGGAGCCAGTGTTGTCTGAAAACATTTTCTTTGGTCATATTGCCAGCATGGCTATATGCCAAAGGTGCATGGAATGCTGTTACTTGCCCACCAAAATGGTACCTATTAATCTACTCCCATTTGCAGGCTTCCGAACTGCTTAGTGTTCTGACCTAGGCTCCCTTAACAAGCAGGATGCAAGAATTGGTCCCGGAAAAACCTCTTTTATTTACACGACTGTGAATTACGTTCATTCACAGTCAGCAAGGTTTGTCCAAACAGTTTTTCAAAAGAATATTTCTCAACACACCTTATCTCCAGGGATGGGTTCTACTTACCTTTACTACCAGTTCACAACGGGAGCTTCTGCGCATGCGCGGATCACCGATGATGACGTTGTGGCGGGTGGGTGGAGCCTCCCGCCGGTTTTACTACCGGTTCTATAGAACCCACCACTGCTTATCTCATTTGGCAAGCTGCCATGTAACTTGTTTCCAACCACAGTACAAGGCAAAAGTCTCTCAGAGTCACGGAATTTATTTATTTATTAATCAGATTTCTATACCGCCCTACTCCCGAAGGACTCAGGGCGGTGAACAGCCAAGATAAAATACAGATAATACAAATATTAAAAAATCCCTTAAAATTATTAAATATTTCGGCCGAAACACAGATTAAAACACCCAATTTATAAAATCACAAATTAAAAAATTTAAAAAATTTAAAAAATGGGAGTTAGGCCAGGCCAGCTTGCTGAAATAGAAAAGTTTTGAGAGCACGGCGAAACGTGCGCAGGTCCGGGATCTTCCGTATCTCTGGGGGGAGCTCGTTCCAGATGAATTGTTTCCTGCAAAAGCCCACTCCCTGTTTGCTCCTCTTTTATTTCCTAGGGGAGGGGCCAATCACCTCCAAGGTATGGCTTTACTCACAAGTCGACCCTGCTTTCTGAGCTGTTCTTGTCTTCTGGCAGCTCTATGCATACACACACTGGGAACGGGCTCTAGCTATTCCTCGCTGCTGTCTAACACCCTCTCTGCCTCTGATGCAGAGCCCTTGTCCGAGCTTTCCTCAGCCCACAGGACTGGACCCATGTTCCTCCCCAACCTTCTCACTGTCTGACTCTGCCGCCAGCTCTGCTGGCTGCCGGCGGACCACAATACTTAGGTGGGCAGGAACTGGAGCAAGAAATGGGACCTTATCCCTTTGCACAGCACTTATGTCTCGAACCTAGGCTGTGAGCTTTCCAGCTTGAAAACTCGGGGTCTTTAACTGCTGAGCCATCGCGCCTCTACCATATCTGTAATGGTTATTTAGAGAATTAATCAGTGGTGGTATCTAGAAGGAAGAACAGAATAATAATGTAATAGAACTTGGGCAGCCAGGATGATAAGCTATATATAAACATTCATATATAGGAGCTTCATGTTTTGTTTTAAAGGATGACTTTTTGACCCATGCTACTTGCTATAATTATAAGGTTTCTGGAGAGCCAAAAAATGTTCTTAAAATACTTGTTTTCAATTTAAGCTTGCCTTCATTTAAGAATAGAGCCTTTGAAATCTTGTCTTTCATTCCTGCCTTCACCCTGGCAGAAATCCGAAATCCTTGGCAGCCATTTCACTCTGGTGAGAGAGGTTTATTTCACTGCTAGTACAAGCCACAGTAGGCTAATTCTAGCCTAGAAAAGATGTGATGGAATATTATTGTTGACTGCAGAAAGGACCTTTGTACCAGCATTACATGGGAATCCAGGAAGTAATGCCAGCACTGAGTGAACATTCTCACTCATCTTCAAAATCCAATTTGTTGCATTGATCCTTCCAATCATTGTTGTTTAAAGACCTGAAGGAATATAAACCTGGCAGAGAGGAAGAAAAAGGCACAGGAACTAGAAAGGGATGGGAAATTCATTCAGTCTGGCATGCAGTGTGAACTCCTAACGACATTTCACATCCAAGGAACTAGACTATTTCTCATTTTACAGAGAGCTTCATTAGTCAGTTTTACTCTTCATCCATTTCAGAAACTGGGTTGCTGACTTTCCTAATCTCAGCCTTTCTTACAACAGTGAGTGCTGGAGCTGTTGCACATATGGGTAATCAACAGTCAACAGAATGACAATTTGGACTATCTCTGAGAGTTGTGCATAGGTGTCACTGTTTTTAAAGGGGCAATTTCAACTGGCATGATAGGAGGGGAGTGATAAGACTGTAGAGCAGTGTTTCTCAACCATGGCAACTTTAAGAAGCGTGAACTTCAACTGCCAGAATTCTCCAGACAGCATGGCTGACTAGGAAATCATGGGAGTTGAAGTCCATGCCTCTTAAAGCTGCCAAAGATGAGAGAACTTGCTTTGAACTTTTCAAGGCATAGATCTTGTCATGGACATCTTAAGCATTATCTTAGTTCAGAAATATGGGCTCAGCTTGAACTCTGCAATTTACACCATCAGACAGTAGTAATGGATTACACACAGAACATCTTTCCCATCGAAACCTACCTGAGAATCTAGATTGTGACCTAAGACGCTGAGCTTGTCGATCGAAAGGTCAACAGTTCAGCAGTTCGAATCCCTAATGCCGCGTAATGGGGTGAGCTCCTGTTATTTGTCCCAGCTTCTGCCAACCTAGCAGTTCGAAAGCATGTAAAAAATGCAAGTAGAAAAATAGGGACCACCTTTGATGGGAAGGTAACAGCGTTCCGTGCGCCTTTGGCGTTTAGTCATGCCGGCCACATGACCACGGAGATGTCTTTGGACAGTGCTGGCTCTTCGGCTTTGAAATGGAGATGAGCACCGCCCTCTAAAGTCAGGAACAACTAGCACATATGTGCGAGGGGAACCTTTACCTTTACCTTTAAGGGCAAATTAAAGTATATCTGGCTTTATTCTATAGTATTCATTTTATACTTGCTACTTTCTACCTTCCAGAAAAGGTTTAGCAATCAATGTAAACTAAATCTAAACTCAACCTAGTATAAATAATCTAAACTACAATAATTAAAAACCAATAAAAACTGCTGGAATTATTAGTTAAGTTCAAATACCCAGTTGAAGAGGAAAATTTTAGTTCCTTCCTTAAAAATAGGAGTAGTGGAGACTAATTGCAACTTCTAATGACTCCATAACTCAGAAGCAATGCTGGAGAAGATCCTGTCCCATGTGACAGAAGCATAAGCCTCTCTGATTCAATCCTGTGTTTTGTTCTGAAAGAAAACAGAATCTTTCTCGATGCATGGTGATGATGATGTTATCCATTCAGCCATGTCTGACTTTTGGCGATTCTAGGGGCAGAATCTCTCCAGCTCTTTCAGTCTTGCATTGCTTCTTTGAATTTTTCTAGGCTCTGTCTGGTGTCAGCTTTGATGGTGTCCGGCCATCGTGTTCTTTGATGGCCTGGTTTCCTTTTACCGCTAACTCTTCCAAACATAATTGTGAAGATGTGTGATGCTGCCCAATAAAAAATGTTTAACTTTAGCTGTAGTGTTGCAATCCAATGAGGCTTTTTGCTTGATAAACAGCATGACATTGTGTTATAAGGTCTAGTGACTTGAGAAGGTAGTCATTTTCTCAATCTGCCACTTTCATTTGTCAAGAAGCTGAGACACAACCCATGCCCAGCAAAATGCTAGAAGCAACTATACGTTTGATTTGATCAGTCAATAAACCAAAATACCTTCAGCATACCTACTGGGTCACCTACTTCTGTTCAGTATCTGTCATTGTTGATTTATATCAGATACTCATTGTCCACAGAGGTAGCATTGTTCAGAAGCACTGACACAATGCTCCATTATGTTGTATAACCACAATGCTTGGTTGCCTCCCCCCCCCTTTTCCCCCCCTTTCTTAATCAGATCCTGTCTCCAAGTTTCTTAATCCCTCAAAAGGAATAAATTTTATTGTGGCTCTGCTTTGCTTCCACTCCATATATGTGATGTTCTCCCTTTCTGCAGTGAAACCCTTCGGACTTAAAATATGCACAATCTTCCCCTGACTTTTCCATTTATT